CAGACAATCTGTACAAGTTGGCATGTGTGGGTTCAGGCTGAAGCTGCCCCGTTGCCTTACTGCTGGTCTCTCTCTGTGTGTGATGAACAAAAACACACAAAAACATCAAAATTAGCACAGAAACAGTACTATATAACATTTTAGACACATTCTAGACAGTTTATCAGCTAAAAAAAGTTAATTTTGGGGTAAGTTACTCTTTAATAATATTAATATCAAACACCTGGATAATATTAGTTAATCAAAGCTGATCTCACAACCTCAAAGCAAGACTTTGAAGCAAGAGTGTCCAATCCTGGTCTTCAAAAGACACTATCCTGCTTATTTTAGAGKCTTCTCTGCTCCAGCACACTTGAATGAATGGATGAATGGATGAGTAACATGAAGAGGTCATTCAATCACTGAATCAGGAGTGTTGGAGCTGGAAAATAAGTAAAATATGGAGGATATTAATCCTCGAGGACCAGCCTTGGACACCTCTGATTTAGAGGAATCCTGGAAGTTTTTTTTTCCCCTTTGATTTTTGCTGTACTGAAAATATTGTGCCCAGTTTATTTTTGCCCATTTGGAGCACATAATCCAAAGTCAGAGTGCTGTCAATTTTCTAAACTGCTACAGCTGGCTTATATTTTATTCAGTTATCTCATCGCTAGATCAACATCACTGCTGGCACCAGGCCAGCCTTTAAATCTATATGTGATTTCCACCATGGATATTAAGAAATTTAATGCATGAAAACTACAACATAGCGCCATGGACCCCATTTAGAAAATCACCGCCAGAGAGAAGAGGCCAATGCAAGAAAAATATTTGTTGGTGAGCGATCGCATAAGGAGGTACTGCAGAAAAAATGAGATTTTATTCCTGAGTACGAGAGCAGAACAAAACCATTTTTGCTGAGGGGATGTTTTGCAGCTGTGTCCAATGGAATCCCAGAGTTAGGCTTTGACATACTTCACATGCCTCTTCTGTGAAATTTAACTCAAGACAAGGCCCCTACAGAGATACTACACAGAGGCAGAATGTTGTTAGTTGAAGTTTGATTCTGGCTGGAAACAATAAAATAAAATAAAAACTTCGACTTGGAGTAAGTGTTGCCGTTTCCTCCAGTCCTGAGATCAGRGACATTGCTGTCTGGTAATGAACAGGCAGAGAGTGTTGTCTAGAGTGAATGGACTGCATCACAGGTCAAGAGGAGCTATAAAAAGCCCACAAGTAGGAAGCCAGGAAGTGCCAGGATCTTGTTCAAGAGTGAAAAGGGTGAGGGTTTCCTGTGGAAGCTTAGTGTAGAGATTCTATAGATTTCACAATCAAACTGGCTGAACCAGCAAGTTGGTAGATAATGGTGAATAATGGCCAACGTCAGTCCACAAGCTGCAAGGTGTTGTGTTTGCTGGTATCTAAACATCTTTTTTCTAACAGGAATTGAGTGCGGCCATTTTAGACGGCTCTTATTTACAGAATGTAAAATGTGCGGGTGTTTTATTTATTTGTTTTTTCTAAATCTACTTGTTACCAAGTCGACCCAAACAGATCTGTGTGTTTTTGTGCTGCTCCATGTGCAGGCAGCAGTTTGGGGTTGTGAAAAATGGATGTATCTGTGTAAACAAAGACACGTTTTTATCGAAATTAAAGTGCCAATTTTCTCCAGCCGTTGACTCCGATGACTTTAATCAGCTAAAGGAAGCTAAATGAGCTGATATGGATGATAAACTCAGGAGGTAATTGCTCTCTGTGAAGCAGCATAAATAAGACTTTTGGGAGTAGTTAGTGTGCTGCCTCTGCCTCTGGCTATTGCCTAGATAATATCTTATGGTTTAGCTTGAAATCAGATATTAGTCCAAACCAGAAAAAAACAGCTACATTTCAGACATACTTGACAGAAAATGGAT